CTTCATTTGTAAGATGAGGGTAATGCTACAACATGCACTGGATTGCTGGTAGGATCACATGCCTGATACGGGGTAAATAGTAAATGGTAGTTACAATGTTACCTTAAATCACATGCAATCTCTGTAACAACCCTGAAAAAGCAATATTCATCATCCCTATTTTGCCAGAGAGGAAACTAATGCCCACAGTAGCTAAGGTGCTTACCCAAAGTCACCAACGAGGAATCTTCTCATTTCAAAGCTCATACTACAGCACAGTTGTCACTCCCATACTGAAGTCTATAAGGCACCTATAAAGAGGGTCCATGCTCTCCTCCCAAACAATGGGCTTAGACAGCTGCCACTATTGGCAAAGTCCCAAATTAAGTTTCAGGCATAATGACTACTGCACATAAGCCTGGACATGGGCAATAGTATATATATTTGTTACAAGCTGAAAACATGATCCAATTCCTCCCTTAAAAATGGTATGCAATTTCTAGGCTTCCCCTTGGATTCCTTTGGATAATGAATGCTGCAGTAATGTATAATGTGGTTGAAGCCTGAAAACAAAGGCATCTGTGGGGAACACAACAAACTGCCGTGATTTCTTCTGGCCTTTACTCTGTAAGGGTCTGTGGGGACTCAGGCAGCCTGAAAGGAAAAGGCAAAAACAGTTTGTATGAGCTGGCAGGAAAAATAGAGCCCAGGTTCATAGACAGAGAAATGATAGATAGATAATTCGGCCCTTAGGCCTCAGCCTTCCTGGCATGTTTTGGAACTTTTTTCTCTTGCAGTCAGAACTTATTTATTTTCATCTATTTTCCATGGGACTGTCCCCAAGCCCCCCATCTGCTGAGAAATGACTTTGCTGAAGAGGACCCCAGCAGTGTCAAAAGTCTGGAGTGAATCAGATACCATAGCTGCTCCTACAACAAAGTCTTTGAAATTTTGACATTCTTTAGACCTGATCCCACTACGTTCCCAACCCGGGAAGCAGAACAAAGTACTGACTTATGTGCCACCAGGTTGCTAACCCTGTGTAAGTCCTGAGTTGACCACATTAGCCATTTTAACTTAATAAAATGGCACATGCATTTCTTTCTGGTATATTTCTCCTGAGTAAATAAAAGTGTACCAAAATTAAATTTCCCTAGCACTTGCACCCAGGCATCTGAGTGGAATATTTACTAGCTAACACGTTTATTATTAACACTGTTTATGCTGTGCCACACCCTGTGTAATTGCTTGGCTCTCTCCCCACTGTTGCTTGGATCTTAAAGCATCAAGCATCTGTCCTCTCCCTTCACAACAGAATATTGGTGGGATTGTAAAACTAGGAGGGCCCTCAGCATCCTATCTTGTTCTATAGAAAGGAAATCAAGGCCCTGGGAGGCCATAAAGTCCCACCATCTCATCGTAAGAGAGTGTCAGTATCTCAGCTGTGTCCACTTTGCCCTATCACCCTGCCCTTCACTTTTATAATAACAGAGGTGTGCCCCACCTGTCTTTTGGATCACCGTAGACCTGCTTGGAGGTATGCTGGCACCTGAGAAGGGTCATAAGCTGGGAAGGCAGTGTCTCAATCAGATACAGCTAAAAATAGGCTTCCCGAGAACAGCCTCGGCTAGTGAGATTGTGCTGATAGAAGGGGCCTCTCAGTGCACTCCCTTGATATCCTACCTGTCCTCCTGGAAGGATGGACACACTGACCACCTCAGTGGCAGAAATGGGCTGATAAAACAGTTGCACACACTAAAGGCAACCCACCTGCCACTGAAGCTCATGAGCGGCTCACTGAGGAGAGGAAATTCCATTTCTACAGCCACCTGACAAGTGGGTCACATGGTGTGAATCGAAGAAGCAGGAGGACTTTCCTCTTGGCCTCGGAATACTTGCACTACTGGTTTACCAGGTGGTGCCTGAAATCTTTCCATTAGGAGGGAATTTGGAAGTCCTAAGGCAACTTGGAAATTATTTAGTTCACCTCCCTCAATGTGTAGATGAGAAAAATAAAGCCCAGAGAAGTTAAGCAACTCGACCAAGGGCAAACAGCCAAGTCTAGAACTTCTCAAAGAAGCATCTCTGAAATAATAGTCTCATAAAATGTTCTCTTGTGAAAAAAAATTGTTTTTAAGCTTCTGAGACCAGGATTTAGGATATGCTACATTCTACATTCTCCTTTATCCAGTCTGCTCATTGTCTATTTAACAAATATTTATTCAGTCTTGAACACATTTTAGGGATCTGGTCTGACCTGGCAAAGCTGAAGCCAGCCCATGAGTGTTCAGATTTCAGGACCAAAAAATATGCAGCTACCTCAAGCAAAAGGAATATTCCTTGAGGTTAATCACTCCTGATGCTTTGTTAACATGGTAATAATACAGGAAGTGAGACGTAGCTGACTGGTGTCAGTCAGGAGCCTTTAGTGTGATTTATTTATCTAAGGCTGTTCTAAGTGACAGCTCTTGTAATTATGTGGCTGAACATGTGATCCTGAGACGGAGGCTACTGTCTTGAGAAAGTTAGTCTGCATGTTAGTCTGGGAATTAAACAGGGTAAGCTGGACACACAGGCTCCCTGAAGAAAGGAAGAATCAGAAAGAGAGAAATGGCCGGGGGCCCAGGGCATGGAGCCAGGGACCAGAACCCCCCCCCATAACCAGGCACACCGCCAGCACCAAGGAGCATGCCAAAAACATCACCTCCATGTGGGTGGCCTACCACAGCCATTACAGTAACCACAGCTGCTACAAAAGTGGCTAGATGTCACAACTACCACGCAGATGGTCCACCAGCCACTGGAGTGCATTGACACAAGGAGAGTCACCAGCAGAAATAAAGAAAAGAAGAGGATGTCTCTCTCCACAAAGCCCATTCCAGAGTGACAGAAGAAGCATCTGCTCTATGATAATATCGGGGGAACTGATCACATCTCTCAGCATTGGACAGATCACCTAGGCAACAAATCAACAGAGTAACCATCACTCTTTCAGAAAGAGAGAAGAAATCTAGGGTTATCAGAGGTGTGAGCGGGGAGGGAGAGGGGGATGGGAGAGATTGGACAAGGGGCGTAAAGAATAATTATAATTCCTCTCAGCATTGGACAGATCACCTAGGCAACAAATCAACAGAGTAACCATCACTCTTTCAGAAAGAGAAGAAATCTAGGGTTATCAGAGGTGGGAGCGGGGAGGGAGAGGGGGATGGGAGAGATTGGACAAGGGGCGTAAAGAATAATTATAATTTGTAACAATACCTATGCTAGTAATATTGATTTGATCAACATATGTCAATGTTGAACCCCCAAAATATGTATAATCAATTGTGATTCAATAAAAATTTTTTTTAAAAAAAGAAGAAAGAGGGAAATGGCATAAAAGAAAAGGCGGAGAGTTAGGAAAATGACTCCATGAGCCTCGGCAGGTCAGTCAGTGAGCATCTCCCACTGAAAGGAAGCAGATGACAAACACAGCCCACTTCAAACAAAGCGTTTCTACAACACCCCACCAAGGAAACACACTCTTGCCGCAGCTCACAGAGGAAACAGTCACTTTGGATATTGATTATTTTCTATAGACTTTACATAACAAATTTCTCTCCTGAGCAATCATGTAAGATCGAGGAAGGAACTTGTTAATAGAATTTTTTTTAATTATGAGGAGAGGGTGGCTCCCCTATCAATTAAATCATGCTTCAATTAGTACAATGATCATTTGGGTCATTACTTTAAGTGTTTGGAATTTCTACTTAAATAAGGTCACTTTCAATTTGGTAAACACTCCTAAGTCATCATATTAATTCACAGCCAGTCACCCAAGGAATGCTGAGTAAGTAAACATAATCAAGCATTAGCTAACTAGCCACAAATCCACTTGAGTTTATTAATTTCTCTCTTGGCAGAGAAGCAAAAAAAGGAAGCAAACCATCAGAGACATTCACACATCATTCACTTGATAAGTATTTAATAATACCAGGTGCCAGGCACTATGCTAAGCTAGATATAGTTTTCATTAGGTTACTAATATTCACAACTAAGTTATATATGAATGTTTTAAAGAATGAAATTCTAGTTTACCAAAAATATAAATTTTAATTCCTGAGATGTTTTATCTTCATTTCTGCCCAGTGTGCCTTCCTCCATGGAGTGGATAATATATCCCGACTCTTAAGCATCCAGGCTCTTCATCTGTCTCTCCAAAAGACTTCCCTCATCAGTCAAGCAGTCAATGACTAGAAACTCACACTAGAAGCATGAGGGAGGAACTCACCATTTTAAAAGTCCCAGGAGAATACAAGTGGTAAGAAATAGTTCACATTATTGCACTCAGATTTTTTTATATATACCTTTGGGTTTTGTTTTAGGGGGAGTAGCTTATACTTGCTCAAAAACTTTTCAAAATACACATATATTTCAAATGCAGACAGGAATGTATGCAACCTTGGAATAAAATTTTAAGAGTACTGCCTTATCAGAATTCCCTTTGCCTCATTTCAAAAGAGACAACCTCTTTCCCATCTTCTCCTAACAACATCAAAAACAAAACAAAAAACAACAACAAAAAAAATGGCAATCCAAAATTAATGCCCAAGAAAAGACCCTCTCTAAGAACAGACCTTATGCAAGTTACTTTGATCACCAGTAAAGAAGGGAGTTGGACTGGAGCTTCTCATGTTCCCTCTATGGCCTGCAGATTAGGGGGTCCAACCTAGCCTAATCCTCTACTACTCCTCCATGAGGAGATGGTACAGGCAGCCCAGGCAGGTGTTGGCCATACACATACACACAGTGAACCCATGCATGTCCCCCCCACACACACACCATGCTACAGGCCCCTATCCATGAAACCCCAACTCCCCCAGGGACAGCCAGCTTACCGAGATATACAAAAGACCCCACACCACCCAGAAGGAGAGGTGAGGAGTCTCCTTCCTTCAGCCAGGCAGTCTCCTGCTGACATCACAAAGGTGTCAACTGGCAACCTCATTGTCATGTGGCTCTCCCCTGGCTCTCCTTCACTTACTTGCAAACACAGGGAAAGGGTGAGACCTTTCAAAGCTGCCAAGTGGGCAAGCTTCCAGCTGCAGTCTGGGAGTTAGCAAGCGGCAGAGCCACCAAACGAAGCGGCGGTGCATTGGGCCTCTCGTTTCAACTTCTGTTCGGTTATCCTGTAATGGAAAATTGCTTTGCACAAAGCTAGAGTGTTACAGTTCTTTCCAGCACCTCTCCCCCGCCCCGCCCCACCCTTCAGCAGCCTTCGGATCAGAGGGACAGCGCCCGCCCGCAGGAAGGTGGAAGGAGGGTAGTCGTGGCTCCTTACTATGTCCCTTGCTTCAGGCCCTGGCCCTGGGTGGTTACTCTTTTCCTTTGGAATGGGGCTGATATCAGGGTCGAAGTGTCCAAATAATTGTCAGTGTCAAGCCCAAGAAGTGATCTGCACAGCACTGCAGCTAACTGAATACCCTCCTGACATACCCCTGAACACCCGGAGGCTGTTCTTGAACGATAACAGAATCACTAGTTTGCCAGCCATGCATCTAGGACTCCTCAGTGACCTTGTTTACTTGGACTGTCATAACAACCGGATTCGAGAGGTGATGGATTACACCTTCATCGGGGTCTTCAAACTCATCTACCTTGATCTCAGCTCCAACAACCTAACCTCGATCTCCCCATTCAGTTTCTCAGTGCTCAGCAACCTGGTGCAGCTGAATATTGCCAACAACCCTCAGCTGTTATCTCTGCACAAGTACACCTTTGCCAACACCACCTCCCTGAGGTACCTGGACCTCAGAAATACTGGCTTGCAGACCTTGGACCATGCTGCTTTCCATCACCTCATGGTACTGCAGACCCTGTACCTGAGTGGAAACCCCTGGAAGTGCAACTGCTCCTTCCTGGACTTCGCCATCTTCTTGATAGTGTCCCATCTGGACCCTTCAGGTGAGGGCTTGATTGGGTGTGGGGAAGAGGACGTGACAGAGGAGGAGGAATTGGTTCCAGAAAAGGTAAAGTCAAAAGATGGTCAGGCTGGGAGCAAAAGCTGGGTTCAGCTGATTTTAAGCATTCTTATTGCTCTGTAGAGCCCATCCCTGGGTTGACTGGACAGGCAATAAGGTTCGTTAGAAAAAGTTCTGGTATAGGAATCCAAAGAGCTGAGTCCTGGTCCCAATCTTGGCACTTACTAGCTGGCTGCCCTTGGAAAAGCCATCATTTCTCTGAGCCTCAGTTTCCTGATCCATAAAGTGGGGATAATAATACTACCTAACATACAGAGTTGTCATGTCAAATAAAACAATGTGTTCAGAAAGGATAAAGTACTATGATAGCAAAATAATAAAGTAATATGGAGATGCTGTATTCCATTGGCAAACTGTTTTAATCTGCCTAATTCAATGACTGAATTTTTCCAGGATCTAAAAGTAAATTCAGTCATTCATAGGCAGTAGAGAGTCCAATAGGGGTATGATATCTGGAAGGGAAAGCTCAGTAGAGATGAGAGACACATAAGCTACCTGGACAAGGGAAAGGACTGAAGGGAGAAGAAAAGCCTTTTGATGGCGCCTTGTTTTCCAGATGCTGGCCTCATAAGGAAGGAGAGAAGGGCATGAGTCAGTGAAGATGGGTCATGGTACTCACTGGGTTGAGCAGGGAGATCCCAATCTTACAGGCAGATTCTCAAGTCTTACCTGGGAGATTTCCAAGTTAGGGGCTGCCACTCTATCCACTGTCCCCACCCCCTCTGTGATGGCCCCTGGAGCATCCCAATACACATCCTGCTGCTTCTCAGGGACTTTGCTGTCCCATCCTTATACTCCAGTTCTCCCTGTCCACAAATAGCACTTTTATCCAGGGAAATCAGAGCTTCAGAGAAACAAGAACTCCTCATAGAAAGTCTGGAGCCACTGATATAATCCAGGAAAATTGGATTTTGGATAGAAAATCAAACTCTATCAAAATCATGTCTTCTCTCCTTCCCTGGGTGTTTGCCTTTGAAAAGGTTTCACACACTCAGTTTCACAAAAGTCCGCTGAAGCTTCCACCATGAAGTCCTTGCTCAGGTAGCAACATCCTAGGAATATTTCTGGCCAGAATGATAGATTTCAAGCAGAACTGGGGGGAGGGAACCAAGTGGTGGCAGCAAGTAAAAATGTGCTCTCCTGGCCTCCCAATGTCTTAAAACATCTTCCAGGGAGGACTGGACTAGAGTGAGGCACACAAGGATCCCAGGATGCAAATTTTAAGGAGACACTGAGAGGGAGTGCTCACTGAGAGTGAGAGTCAGTTCCTTCTTAAATTTTGTGCCCCAGGCACCTGGCCCCACTGTCAGATACTTTAACTTGTTAGGAAAAATCAAAAAGAACTTTGTCGGGCCGAGCCCGTGGCGCACTCAGGACAGTGCAGCACTGGGAGCGCAGCAGCGCTCCCGCTGCGGGTTCGGATCCTATATAGGGATGACGTGGCGCACTCAGGACAGTGCAGCACTGGGAGCGCAGCAGCGCTCCGGCTGCGGGTTCGGATCCTATATAGGGATGACCAGTGCGCTCACAGCGCTCACTGGCTGAGCGCGGTGCGGCCGGTCTCAAAAAAAAAAAAAAGAACTTTGTCAGACACCTTCCCAATAGAAGTAATCATAAAAGAAGACAAGAGCTTCTTGGAGAGGTTGGCTTTCCTCTCTGTACCACCTTCTCTGAGAGCCAGAGGTAATGTCTTCTCCTTCACTGGTGCTATGATGGTTTCAAGAAAGCTCTCTAAAAGAAGGTCAATATTAATCACCCTCATGCATTAAGTGTGGTTCCTAATGTTCGTGCAACTAGCCTGTGGAAGGGCACCACCTTCTCTTGCCCCCTCTCTCCCATCCATATACATTTTCCTTGAGTAGAGCCTCGGTAGCCAGGGGGACCTCTTACCCTAGCTGAAGTAGTGAAGTAGCTTGCTTCTACCCCAGCCCCTAAGCCCACCACTTCACCTCCCATTCAATCTCCCTTAATCAAATTTCTGCTTGTATCTGGTCAGAATTTTCAGGCTGAAAACTTTGGACACCTTGACTTTTCAATTCAATCATGATGCAATAGGATTATATTCACTACATGTTTGCAAAGGCATCAGAAAGGATTATCTATCTTGTCAAGTTCATAAGCTCCACACGAATGAAGAGTCTGTCTTTTGAGGTAGACAAAGATTTCTTCCACTGGGCAGTGGGACCTCACACAGGCACCCACAACTGTTCCAGTTCAATATTATTATCTCTTAAAAACATGAATAAGCCCAAGGCCAGAAATAAAAATAATTCATATTTCTATAAAGCTTGCAACTGGGGGAGTTTTTTTCATACACAATGTCTCATTTCCTTTAGTTTGAGTATCAAGCCAACTCTTAAATTTTGTGCCCTCACCCTATGGAAGAGGCTAGATTGATTTTTTTTTCAATTTTATTTATATTTATTTTTGTGGGGTACAGTGTGTTGTTTCAATACGTACATATAATGCACAGTGATTCACTTAGGGTAGATAGCATAGTTTTGTACCCATTAGTCCACCACTTCTCCTCCCCCACCCCTCCTCTCCTGGCCTCTGGTAACTATTATTCCTCTGTCTACTTCTGTGAGAACCACTCTTTTTTCCTTTTAGATTCCACATATGAATGAAATCATTCATTATTTGTCTGTCTGTGCCTGACTTACTTTATATAACATGATGGTTTACAGTTCTATCCATGTTGCTGCAAATGATAGGATATCATTTCTTTTTATAGCTGAACAGCATTACATTGTGCATACAATACCGCAGTGTTTCGTTTTGTCTTGTTTTATCCATTCATTCATTGCTCAGCATTTAGTGGATTCCATCTCTTGGGTATTGTGAATAGCATTGCAATGAACATGGGAGTGCAGGTGTCTTTTTGATATAATGATTTCATTTCTTTTGGGTGTATACCCAGTAGTGGGATAGCTGGATTGTAAAGAACTGCCATACTGTTTTCCACAATGGCTGTACCAACTTACAGTCCCACCAGGAATATAGAAGGGTTCCCTTTTACTGCATCTTCACTAGCATTTGTTATTTTTTGCCTTGTTGATAATAGCAATTCTAAATGGGGTAAGATGATATCATTGTGGTTTTAATTTGCATTTCCCTGATGATTAGTGATGTTGAGCATTTTTTCATGTGCTTGTTGGCCATTTGTATGTCTTCTTTTGAGAAATGTTTATTCTGATGTTGAGCATTTTTTCATGTGCTTGTTGGCCATTTGTATGTCTTCTTTTGAGAAATGTTTATTCTGATGTTGAGCATTTTTTCATGTGCTTGTTGGCCATTTGTATGTCTTCTTTTGAGAAATGTTTATTCAGGTCCTTTGTCCATTTTCAAATTGGGTTATTTGGTTTTTTGCTTTTGAGCTGTTTCAGTTCTTTATATATTCTGGATACTAGCCCCTTGTCTGATGTGCAGTTTGCAAACACTTTCTCCCATTCTGTAGGTTATCTTTTCACACTGCTAATAGTGTCTCCTTAGTGTGCAGAAGCTTTTCAGTTTGATGTAGTCTCATTTGTGTATTTTTGCTTTAGTTGCCTGTGCCTTTGTAGTCTCGCAGGATTGATATTTTTATCCCTATCCTTGGATGAGAAAATAGGCTGACTTGCCCAAAATAACACAGCCAGTAAATAGCAAGAAAATGATTTGAACTTCTTTATTGCGAATTCATATCTTTTTCCTTGAGACTATATTACCTCTTAAATTCTTGAGTCACATGATAACTATCATTCTATAAGTCAGTTTGGTTATAAATATAAGTCATGTTATAAGCATATGGCTGCTTCAGCTTTATTTCCTATCTGGCCACTACTTGGTACTCGCCTGAGATTATTTTCATGAGACAATAAGCACTAATTATCACAAATTCATTATGATATGCCTGTACTTCCTTTGAAAACACAGGTTTCACCCCAAACCCCAAAAGGATAAATCTAACTTTAGCATTGCTGTCTGATGGGCTTTATCCAGTCTGGTTCTCCCTTATTGTACACACATACACACATACAATTACAAACATGCATACAAATACACATGCAAAAACATATATATACACGTGCATATGAACACACACATACACGAACACAAAGATATAGCTACATATATATTTCGTACATACATATGCAACCTACTCATATACCCACCCATGCACTACACACACATAACATATATGCACATATAAATGTACAGATACAGATTCACAGGCATGTATAGACACACACATACAGGTGAACATATAGAGTAAAATTCACTAGATGCTTGCCCTTTGGCCAGATCTCAATGTAAGGGAAGATATTTATTTTATTTGACTCTCATATAATGATTCATGGTCTCTGTTTGGTAGAAATATCTTTGCTACTGACAAACACTCTTGGTGAACTCTTACCCTTAAGCCCACCTATTTATACCACATTTGCTATCAGAATGTTGATCTTTGACATGTTCTAGAATAGAGCCCACACATCTGTCTCCATTTGCCCACATTTCAGAATATAGAAAGAATTTTTGTGAAATAAGCTGAGTAACATGGTTGTTTATAAAGCAAAATCCAGTTTAAAGATAGGTTTATTTTAGACCCAAGGAGGTACTGAATCTTCGCATTGGGAAATTTTCCCTTGGCGCAATATTAAGAGCAATATGACAGTGGAATGCCAGTACATATATACCTTTAAAAGAGAGGCAGTGAAGTAAGAGACATCTGGGCCACCACTCAGTTCATCCGTTTGTTTAAATATTCATTAAGTGCCTATTATGTGCCAACCATGGAAGTAACTAACCAAGAAGCCTGGAGCTGCATATGGAGATTCACGTGACTATGGGTCATCGGCACCATAAGTGTCCCATGGCCAGTAAGGCACAGCAGAACTAAACAGGGAAAGACAAAAGAGGCCAGCATGTGCCTCGTGTGGTAGA